GCCCCCGTGCCTTAATTTGAGGACCCCTGACCTAAGTAAGTAAGTAAGTAACATATAAAGCCACATTTTGTTCATTTCAATCTGTGTGGATTTGCCTGTATGCGGGATAAGGTAAAGGTAAAGGTAGTCCCCTGACCTTAAGTCCAGTCATGTCTAACTCTGGGGGTTGGTGCTCATCTCCATTTCTAAGCCGAAGAGCCAGCGTTGTCCGTAGACACCTCCAAGATCATGTGGCCGGCATGACTGCATGGAGCGCCGTTACCTTCCCGCCAGAGCGGTACTTATTGATCTACTCACATTTGCATGTTTTCGAACTGCTAGGTTGGCAGAAGCTAGGGCTGACAGCGGAAGCTCACGCCGCTCCCCGGAATCGAACCTGCGACCTTTCGATCAACAAGCTCAGCAGCTCAGTGCTTTAACCCACTGCGCCACCGGGGGCTCAAACCAGGACTTAAACCTGGAAGCATCCTCTAAACCTAAGATCCCAAGATCCCTTTGGAAAGATGGCCTGCTACCTTTATACTGATTCTAAATGGCTGTGTGGCTATTCCAGACCTATCTCTGTTGATATGCCTAACTTGTAGAGATAACAGTTTTCAGATCTTGAATCCATTGCAGTGTTTGCTGACATGTTTATGATGGTGTTGCTTTCTGTTCTGTTTCCCCCCCCATCCTTTTAGTATCCACAGCTGAGCCAGGAGTCCGCTTCTCCGTTTGTGTTTATCTGCAATAATCCCCAGGAGATGATTGTGAAGTTTCCCATCAAAGGCAAGCACAAGATCTGTAAGTCTGCTGTTCTTTACTCTGCTTTTGAAAGGGTTTCTGGCAGAATCCCTGCTGGTGGTCCTTTTTTCCTGCACTCTTGGGCTCTCTTCCACAGACACTGCAAACACTTTGAAACCTCATCTTATTTTTCAATAATACCTTGGGATGATAGTGTACTTTATTTATTTATTTATTGATATTCACAACATTTATAAGCCACCCTTCTCACCCCAAAGGGGGACTCAGAGCGGCTTACAAGATAGATAGATAGATAGATAGATAGATAGATAGATAGATAGATAGATAGA